AGATCCTCCTGCCTCTGCCTCCCGAGTGCTGGGATTAAAGACGTGCACCACCAGGCCTGACCATCTTACTTTTAAGGGAAGAACTATTTTACTTCTGTGCTGGGACCATAAGCATAGTGGTAGTGTGTGGGCCTAGCATACACTAGGCCCTGAGTTTGCTCCCCAGCATTGACAAAAACAGTTCATGAGAAAAGTGTGATAACAGATGCCTGTAATTCCAGGATTTGGTAGATAGGCAGAAGGATCAGGAATTAAAGGCCAACTTCAGCTTTATAGGGAAATTAAGGCTAGCCTGAATTACATAAGACTGTCTCAAACAAATGAATACTATCCCCCCAATCTGCAAACAATTCACTCCTAACTGATATACCCAAAGTTCTTACACAGAAGGCAGGTTAGGGTAGAAAACCTTCATCCTAGAATCCCTAGGACACCAATGTGGAGGTTGAACAGTCACCATCAAATACCAATGCTCATAGTGAACACTGAGGACAGGATGGTCACACAGTATTGCATTTCTCTCCAGAGTGGAGTGGATAATTATAAAGGAAAAGAGGTCCTGCAGTACAGACATTCTCTCGCACAATCATGCCACATGGCTCTACAAGAAAGTATGGAAACCCATTAGTCTCAAGTGTCCATTATCTTGATGAACCCTGCCAACTATCTAAGGTACACATTCCACCAAATCAACAGGCTGGAATCAGGTTTCACCTTCTCCAACTACAATTATGTACCTTACCCAGGTGTTCCTTGTATGCAGTTCATATCCAACAGAGAGCAGAGATAGCATCATCGACCAGCTTTGGCCTGAGTTAGCACACTGGCTTAACTGGGTACTCCAAGTGAGACCCACATAAGAGTCTTCTTCAAAAACCCAAGTGGAAGAATCTCTGCAAAGAGCCACCTATGGTATGGCTCCATTCCTGAGATGTTGTGACTAGGCAAATCCTCAGACAGAAAGTGGGTTGGCAGTTGGTTTCCAGGGATTGCAGGGGAGGACAGTGGCAACTGAGGGCTATAAGACCTTTTTTTCTTTTTTCTTTTTTTGGTCTTTTTCAGACAGGGTCTCCCTGTAGCTCCAGCTGGCCTGGAACTTAATATGTAGATCAGGCTGGCCTTGAACTCAGAGATACACCTGTCTCTGCCTTCTGAGGGCTGGGATTAAAAGTGTGCGCCACCATGCCCAGTTTATGACTTCTTTTAGAGATGATGAAATCTGAAACCAACAGTGGTTCTAGTTGTATTACCATGAATTCACTAAAAGACATTGAACTGTACTCTTTAAATGAATGGACTATATGGCAGATAAACATCTATCCCAATAATGCCGGTAACTACTTGCAACTTCTACTCAGTCCACCCCCTGCTCCAAAGACATCACAGATGATGATGGCAAGCCCAGTTTATCAGGACAATGGACAGCAGCAGCCTCCTGTTCCTAAGTAAAGACACGGTTTCAAGAAACTCTCATAAGTTCCCAATACCAGTTAGATGCTTGGGAGATAGAGATAGGGCCACACAGCTCATGAGCTCCTTATGTCTGCAAAGTCATGTTCTCGACTAAGTCTACACGGCTTCCACCACACAGAGATACCTCAGAGGTTACCAACAATACCAGTAGCCTCCCTACCTTGCGATATGAAGGTCCCTCCTCTGCTTTGACCACCCGCTGGTTCACATAGAATACTCGGGGGATGCTCAGCTTGATACAGTGTAAGTCACTGCCGATGATGGCCCATAGCCGGAAAAGACCAGCTTGGCTGGTTTCACTGATCTGAGAGGAAATGCAGAACACACAGCACATCACATAACACACTGACACCTGTGAACCGGTAATCTCCCACATGGCCTCCAGCTCTGCCCACATCCCCCCATGTGCAGGACACCTATGATGGGCAGAAAGTTTAAGGTCTATCTTACTCTCCATCCCATACTGCAGGACTGGCTGAACAGTCCCTCCCCTGAGCCCACAAGAAGTGTGGCTGCTCTCAGCATCCTGCAACCTATGAATGAAGGTCCACACCTGCACAATTTGCCATGGAAGATCCAGAATGCTGCGGGCAGTTCGTCGCAAAAAGTTTCCCAGCCCTGTGGCAGGTCCCTCTCGGATGGTCCCATGCCTTGACACACTGTCTGTTGACTCTAGACACTGTCTCTTCCTCCGGGCCAGGCGCTGTCGGGCCTGCAGCTGCCACTTCTTCTTGTGGAACCGGAGCCAGACCAGCCACTCTTCCTGGACAGATGGCAACACATAACTGCTGGTGTATGTCGAACACCAACACCCTTCTCCAACAGCCTGCATCTTACTCCCAAGCCTTAGCAGCTTCTAACTGCTCTGAGACTCTCAGGTATTTCTATAACCCCTGTTTAGGAGGCAGGATTTACCTCAGGAACCCTTTACTATGTAGCATATTCCTAGGAGAGACAATGCCACAGCAACTTTTCCCATGCCCCCTCTGGCTTCCTTGCTTCCTACCTGGGTGGTTCCAAGGGAGGGAGGCTGCCCCAAGACTTCTTGCCAGGGAACAGTCAGTGCAAGGTCCTGAAACTCCTCTTGGCTCTCCCATAAAACTCGCTTCCTCTTAGTAGCAACTGGGACTGCTGAGTAGTGTGGCTTTGTGAGGCCAAAGTCCTCCATGTCTGGAGTGCAGAGCCTCTGGCTGTCTCCTGGAGCCTGGGCCATCACAATCTGGAAGGACCCAACCAAACTTTGTAATTCAGGATCTCAATCTGGTAAATTCTATCCTAGAATTCTAATAAATCTCCTGAAAAAGGATACTCATTTACAGACTAATTTAACTATTAATAACAAAAGGGTTAAACAGAAAAAAGTTTAGAAAACAGTGTCACTCAAAGACCATCAATAAGTAAATGTCCAGCATTTTGCCATGCTTGGCATATATAGAATGCTTACAGGGTAACCTGTTACTGAAGTGACCTATGACTTAGCCATGTATCTTTGAGATGGATACCTTCTGAAAACAGTGGTGTGGTTCATTCATTTAAACTGCTGTACAGCCAGGTGTGGTGGCACACACCTTTAATCCCAGCACTTGGGAGGCAGAGGCAGGCAAATCTGTGAGTTCAAGGCCAGCCTGGTCTACATAGTGAGTTTCAGAGTTGCTGGGGCTATGGGAAGACCCTGTCTCAAAAAAGACCAAAATATAAAAATAAAAAAATAATAAATATTTAATAACTACAAATAGCCAGGCATGGTGACACACGCTTTTAACCCCAGCACTCAGGAGGAAAAGGCAGGCGTATCTCCATAGCAAGTTCCAGTCAGGATGGGGCTACAGGGAGACCCTGCCTCAAAAAAAAAAAAAAAGAAAAAAAAGTGATTCAGTGTCTACCTCTGTACATGCTACTATGGTCACAGGGATGACCCATCTTTCAAACTTTCTCAGGGATGAGTTCTACTTTCCCATGTTTCAACACTAGTTGCCCACCACTTTTTCTCAGTTTGACTGAGAATACCTAAATATTTCATGTTGTAGTCATCTATTAGTAGTGAGGTCCCATACCTTCTGGCAGCTAGCCAGGCAGCCCTGTACTGTGGCCCAATGATCTACCTTCTTGTACTTAGTCCCTATGTGACTCTCTGAGTGGGGTGGGACCTAGTGACTTGCCTTTAATGAACAGATTACAACAAAGTAGCTTTCTGACATCAGTCACAGAATACTTCTGCTTGCTGGGACTACAGTTCTTATTCATTGCTTGGCTATAACTCTAACCTATACTTTTCATTGTTTTGTCTTCAATGTTTTACCAGGAAAAAAAAAATCTTGATTTTGTTGAGAAAACTGGTATACAGTACAGTGATTCAATTCAGGTCACTGTGTCTAATTTGTATGGCCCATTATTTACACATCAATCTGTTTTTAACACTCACCTGATGATTCACAATCTGTTTTCAGTCATATAAAATGATACTGGAAGGCACTGAAGAGTAAAGTACCACAATGTACATTTTTAGAGGTAAAATACCTCTTTAGAGTCAGGTGTGGTGGCACACACCTTTAGTCCCAGCACTCAAGGAGGCAGAGGCAGGAGGATCTTTGTGAGATTGAGGTCAGCCTGGTCTACAGAGTTCCAGATGAGCTGGGACTACAAGGAGACCCTGTCTCAAAAAACCAACCACCCACCACCCACCCATCCACCCACCAACCAAACAAAACCTCTTTAGAGGCAGCATCAGAAAATTATGAATGGCAGTTCACAGACCTTGTTACCCTGTCTTGTGTGTTACCTGTCTCTTTCCCTCAAGGACAAAGAGCTCACTGATCTTCTTCTGCTTGTAGACATCATTCTTCTCTAGCAGTTTTTTGTGCAGCCAGTCTGGGTGTTTGACACGTGGAACCGGGTTCTTCACCTGAGGATGACACAGATTAGAAACCCTTGTGTGACTCTATGGTCTTTGTGGTGCTGGGTGGTATCCCCTGGCTCTTGTCTCACCTGCTGCAGAGCTGCAGGGATGGTGATGATTTTCTGGATGGCACTCCCCAGACGCTCAATGTAGTAGTCCCAGTCTAGAATCTGCATACAGAAAGCACAAGAAGCAGCAATGTAGTAACTGTTTACATCATTACATGCCAAGCATTGCTAAATGCTGTGTCTCATTCCATCTTACAGAAATTCCATAATACAAGGAGCTCATTTTAGAGGTAGAAACTTGGTAGAGAGCTTCATGAGACCACAGGATCATAAGCTAGCAGGTGGTTAGTTGTACCTCAGCCTTATTCCATCCAAGAAAGTAGCAGCTCAGGGGCCTCCCTAATGTGAGCTTCCCAAGGCCTTAGTGTTGTCTCCCTACATACTATATGTCAGAAAGGAGGAAGTCAGAAGTAAAACTCTGGATGAGACAGGTGACCCAAGTCAGGCACATTCTATGCTAAATAGCTTTCTTTTTATCTTTTAAAAGATTTAATTTTAGGCTACAAAGAGACCCTGTCTCAAAAAGACCAAAAAAAAATTTTTTTTAATTTAAAAAAATTATGTGTATATGTATGCCTGTATGAGTTTATGTATACCACATGCGTGTAGGTGCTCTTGGAGGCCAGAAGCTATTAGATTCCCCGGAACTAGAATTACAGGTGGTTAATGAGTCATTTACGTGGGTGCTGGGAATGGAACCCAGGTCCTCCGCAAGAACAGTATGTGCCAATTATTTTTGTACTACTAAGGGTTTAAAAAGAGGTCTGGAGAGATGGCTCAGTGGGAAAAAAAAACACTTGTTACCAAGTCTGATGATCTGAGTTCAATGCCTGGAACCCATGTGGTAAAAGAACCAATTGCTGTTAAGTTGTCCGCTGACCTCCATGCATGCCATCACCTCCAGCCCCTTAAATAAGTGAAAAATAAAAACAAAGGGACTGGAGAGATAGCTCCGTAGTTAAGAGCAGGTACTGCTCTTGCAGAGGACCTGAGTTTGGTTCTCAATGAGTGTCTTACACAACTGCAGGACTCCAGCTTCAAGGTGATCCAACATCTTCTGAGCTCCTCAGGCACATGTACTCACATACACATACCCATATACAGACACACATAATTGAAAATAATAAAAATAAATGTTATAAAAATAATTGACACTCACTGTCCGAATATCAAAGTCTTGAAGACATGAACTCTTTAGCCATTTCCGGAGAAAGTGTTTCCTCACTGTGGGCTCTGCTTGGAAAATGGCAAGTGGGATGGCCCTGGGTGAAGAAAACAGGAACAGAATCACAACAATGAAAATAACTGTAAATCCCACTATAATTCTTAGCAAATGCACATGAAAATAAAGGCTCTGTACACACTGTAGCTTGTATATGATACACATAACATTCAATGACTAGTATTCTCATTAAAACATTTGGGTATGGCCTGGGACTATAGCTCAATGTTAGGAGTGCTTGCTTAGCATATGTAAGGCTCTGGTTCTGTTCTCAGCAGTACAAAACAGAATAAAGAATAAGGAAAAGGGGAGGGAGGAAGAGAAGGAGGAGAGGGAAAGAAAGGGAATGAGGAAAAGGAAGAAGAAGGTAAAGGAAGAAGAGGAAGTGCTAGGTATGGTAGTGAGTACCTGTAATCACAACACTTGGGAGGCTGAGACAGAACTGTGAGCGCCAAGGCCAGCCTGGACCACATAGCAGGATTGTATGGCAAAAAAACCAAACCAAGGGGCTAGAGAGATGGCTTAGTGGTTAAAAGCACTAGCTGTTCTTGCAGAGGACCCAGGTTCAGTTCCTAGCACCCACATGGCAGCTCACAACCAGAGGTCTGCAACTTTAGTTCCAGGGGATCCAATTCCCTCTTCAGGCCTCCATGGGCATTGCATGCATGGGTATACTAACTTACAGGAATGTAAAACACTAATAAACATAAAATAAACTTTAAAAAATGAAAAACAAACAAACAAAAAAACAATCAAACCAAGCCAAGCCAAGCCAAACCAAGCCAAGCCAAGCCAAACTAAACCCTGAAGTTTACAATCCTGGGTATATACCCTAAAGAATCAAAGTCAACATACAATAGATATATACCTGTACATCCATGTTTATTGCAGTCCTAATTCACAACAGTCAAGTTATAGAATCAACCTAGGTGCTTGTCGACAGATGAATGAATAAAGAAAATGTGGCATACGTACACTACTCCTCAGTCCATAATAATTTTATTCAGTATAACAAGATTATGTCATTTACAGGAAAATGGACGGAATTGGAAATTATGTTAAGTGAAATGATACAGAGGCACAAATACTGCATGCTTTCTCTCACATGCAGAATTCAGATTTAAAAAAGATATTGAGCTGGGTGTGGTGGTGCAAGCCTTTGATCCCAGCACTCAGGAGGCAGAGGCAGGAGGATCTCTGTGAGTTCCAGGTCACCATGGTCTACATAGACTTCTAGGCCAGCTGGGGCTACAGGGAGACCCTGTCGGGGAAAAAAAAAAAGACATTAAAGTACAAGGGCGCCTATTTGGGAAGAGAAGCAGGAGTGTTTGTGTATGTAGGGGAACAAAAGAGGGCAATGGCAGGTTCATATGATCAAAGTATATTATATGTATGGAAAATAAAATGAAACCCCTTATTTTGTACAAATAATATAAATTTTTAAAATGGCTTAAGTTGAATGCACATCATCTTCTGTTGGATGTTTGGTCTGTTTTTCATATGTAGCCACTGTCTAGAGCTGTTTAGAACTATCCTTACATGTGGGCAAGTAGATATTTCTAAAATATTGTTCCTTGGGTAAAATACACAAAAGCTGGAATGCTTTCTAAGGAATGAGCTGGTTTTCACAGCACCAATGAAGCAACTAGCAACTTTCAGTAACTCTTATAAAATACTTGTTATTGTGAAATATTATTACAAAACTTAGAATAGAGCATGGTGGCACACACCTTTAATCCCAGCACTCTGGAGGCAAGGCCAGCCTGGTCTACACAGTGAGTTCCAGGCCAGCTGGGGCTACAAGGAGACCCTGTCTCAAAAAACCAAAAGAAACCCTTAGAATATAACACTGATGCACGTACCCAGCATCTGTACTGCTCTGAAACTGTCACTTCCTATGAGAGAGAATAAAGTGGAGTACTGGGCACTGTATGCTGCCCGTCCTTTCTCACACAGAGGTCTATAGGACCCTTATTCTGGTATTGGTCCTGTGCATGCCTTTATACCACTCCTACTTGGATGTAGCCATGAAGAAAGAAAACATCCCTTTTCCCCTCAGGTTTTGCATATACAGCAGTCTTTTTTTTCTTTTCCTTTTTTTTCAAATTTTTTTGAGATAGGGTCTCTGTATACGGCCTAAGTTGACCTAGAACTTGCTATAGTTCAGACTCGTCTTGAACTTGAGCTCCTTCTGCCTTAGCCCCCTAAGTGCTGGGACGACAGGTGTCAACCCCACATGCAGCTACATGGCAGTCTTGGTTCAATACTTTCTGAAGCTCCTTTGTGTTGTCTGTGCTACAGTTCAATCCTTTTGATTCTTATATAGCATGTGTATATTTCTTTCTCTTCAATGTAGGAAACTGAACTCAGGGCCTTGGGAACACTAGGCAAGTGCTCTACCACTAATCTACAAACCCAATCTACCTAATTTTTGTGAGATTTTAGGGATTAAACCCAGGGCCTCCCAAATATCTGGTAAGTACTCTTACCAAATGAGCCACACGCCTAGCACATCCAGCCCTTTATTTCTATTTTGAGACAGGGTGTTGCTAAGTTCCCAGGCAGACCTCAGACTTCCTGCCTCAGCCTTTCCAGTATCTGAGAGTAGATAGCTACTACCATGTTTGGCTCCTGCAGAGTACGTTCCACCACCTAAAAACCATCTGACCATTTCCAGTGATGCTACGGTACTAAGCCAGGTGTGGTGGTGCATACCTTTTGATCCTAGCACTTTTGAGGCAAGGGCATAGGCAGATGGATCTCTGTGAGATGGAGCCCAGCGTGGTCTACACAGCAAGTTCCAGACCAGCAGGGACTACAGGGAGACTGTCTTTAAAAAAAAAAAAAACAACAAAAAAAACCCCAAACAACAGCAGCAACAAATAAATAAAATAAATGGTGCACGCCTTTAATCCCAGCACTTGGGAGGCAGAGGCAGGCAGATCTCTGTAAGTTCGAGGCCAGCCTGGTCTACATAGTAAGTTCCAGGCCAGGTGAGGCTACAAGAAGACCCTGTCTCAAAAAGACAAAAACAACAAAAACAACAAAAAACCTGGCACTAAACATGACAAGACGTGTTCAGGAGTACCAACTGAGGGCTGGGGATGCAGCTCAAGTGGTATAGTCCTTGCCTAAAATGTACAAAGCCCTGGATCTGAACCCCAGTACTCTATAGAGTAAGTGTGGTGGCACATAACTGTAATTCCAACACCTGGGAGGTGAAGGCAGGAAGATCAGGAGCTCAAGGTCATTCTCTGCTACATAGTTTGAGACTAGCCTGAGCTACATGAGACCCTGTCTCAAAAATCAAGCAAGGGGCTGGAGAGATGCCTCAGCAGTTAAGAGCACTGGCTGTTCTTGTATAGGACCTGGGTTCAGTTCCCAGCACCTACATGGTGGCTAAAATCACCTTTAACTCTAGTTCAAGGGGATCCACCACCCTCTGGGTACTGCATGACATGGGTCTACTTACATGCAGGCAAAACACTCATACACATAAAATATAAACTAAAAATAAATCAGAAAAAAAGAAAAAATCAAACAAGAGCCAGCAAGATGGCTCGACATGTAAAGGCACTCACTGCCAAGCCTAACAACCTGAGTTTGAGCCCCAGGACCCACATGGTGGAAGGAGAGAGCCACTCTAGCAAGTTATCATGTGACTTCAACCTGTACAACATGGCCCACACTCCCAAATTCCCAAAAAATAAGCAAGTATTTTACTAGTGGTATAAGCCAGTTTAAGAAGTTGGGGGGGCAAAGAAAAAAAGGAACATTAGGAATACAGAAGAGAGGGAAGGAGAGGGAGGAGAGAAGATAAAAGGGAGAAAAAGAAAGATGAAATTAATACACAAAACAGGGCTGGAGAGATGGCTCAGCAGTTAAAAGCACTGCCTTATAGTCAGAATATATAAAGAATTCTTACAAATCAATAATATAATAAAAATTTAAGAGGCATTTCACAAGAAAAAAAATACCATATAAATAATAAACATATGAAATGGTACTCAACTTTATCAGTCATCACGGAAATGCAAGTTAAAACCACAATGCAATGTTATTTTATGTACTCCAGAATGACCAAAATGAAAAAGAAATGGTATCATATGTTGGTAAGAGTATGGAGTCAACTAGCATTCAAATGTAATCTGAAACAACCATATTGGAAAATTATTTGAGAATAAAGGTGGATATGACCAAGAAAAAAAAAAGTAAAATGAAATTTAAAAAAATTAAAGAATAATACAAAACTAAAATAAACTCAAACAAGAAGTGCTAGGTGCCCTCCACTCCCAGACCCTCTGGGTGCGAGTCATACTCTTAGCCACATGGTATAAGCACCCATCTACCTGTGCACCCATAACTGGTACCAGCACTCTAGTTCTGACCCAGAAGATGCTGCTTAAGTCTGCACTGCCATGATTTCCGGGAGCCTGGTTTATCTTTCCACACATTGGTCTGAGCATATCTGAGGTCCTTCTTTCTCTCTGGGTTCTTTATCTAATGGAAATTTAAAAACTTGTCACTTGCCAGGTGTGGAGGCCCACGTCTTTAATCCCAGCACTTAGGAGACAGAGGCAGGTGGATCTCTGTGAGTTCAAGGCCAGCCTGGTCTACATAGTGAGTTCCAGGACAGCTGGGGCTACAGGAGACCCTGTCTCAAAAAGACCAAAAACAAAAAAAAGCCCTCAAACAAACAAACAAACAAACAAAAAACCAACTTGTTATCTTGATCTATGTGACTCTATTGAACTGGCTTTAGAACAAATAGTTTGACCTATGCCATAGCAATTTTTTCCTTATAGAAGTATTTGCTATTTACCTTTCCTACAGGCCTCTCTGAGAAGGTGGATGTCAACCAGCATTATCAGGCACCTGCTGTTAATGAACCACCCAACACTTAGTAGACTGAGATAATAACTACTGATGCTGATGAATCTGTACCCTGGGTGGTCTCACCTGTGGTTGGTCACTTGTGTAGCTGAGTGGCATCCTTACAAGAAGGCAGCAGACACTCTTGGTGGGGCCACCTTAGATAAATGCTCTCTCAGCTTCCAGGAGACCACTTGGGTATCAAGAGGGTAACTGCCCAATCTTGGAGCCCCTGTTAACTGGAGTTTAGAAGTCTTACATCCTGTCCATCCAACCCATTGGTTACAGAAGTCATAGGCTGCATCATTTCCAGGCAAGTGGGTCAGACATACCTTTCCACAAGAGACTCAAGCCACATTAGGGAGTGCCATGAAGATTCTGCAGAGGCCATACTGGCCTCCAGTTCCTCTGAAGGGACCACAGGTTTATCCTGTCTCTACTACTAGCTCTCAAGACTCCCATGGGGCCACTTTAGGACTTGGGTTCTGGTAGTCTGACTGAGATGAGCTCTTTTTTTATTGTGCATCATTCATAGGCAGCCATGGTTTCTTCCTGTTTCATTCAGTCTCATGGTAAGAGCTGGAAGCTGATCTGGTGGAGTTCCTTGTTGTTGCACCTGGTATGGCCTAGGAGCCGGAAGGTATTTCTTTGTCATCCATGAAGGGGACTGAGAGCTTGTTGGTATTATTGGCAGTAAAAATATGCTAGAGTCTCTTGTATGCTAGAGGACTCTGCATGGCTTGTCATAGGGCGACTCCTACTAGGGAGCTGTCTTTGGATGAGGAGCCCAAGCCCTGACCCTTCAAGATACCCACATTTATCTCCATAACAGAAAGTCTGACTCTTTTCAAACCAAGGTTCTCTAGCCTCACCATGCCCTCTCCAGGGTCCCACGAGGACCTTGTAAGGCCTTTTTGAGTTTATCTACAGCATCAGAGGCCAGCCTTCCTCTTTCAACACCCACTGGCCATACATTCTTCCTATGGAAGCTTCTCTGTGGGAAGGAGCCACAGGCTCCACCATAGGTATAGATATGCAAAGCCAGTGTCCAGTGTCCAACTCTTTTTTTTTTTTGAGACATACACACACACAAAAAAGATAGCCCAGCCTGGTATTAAACTCATTAAATAGTCCAGGTTAACTTTGAACTCACAAACTTTTTCTCTCAGCTTCCCAAATACTGGGATTACAAGTGTGCATGACTATGCCTGTTCCTCTCCTCCACTATCAGGACAGAGTATCCTTAAGTTACCCAGGTTGGCAGGGAACTTAAAATCCTCTGGCCTCAGCATTTTTGTGTGCTAGGATTACAGGCATGCACCACCACATCCATTCAACTCTTTAAGGAAGGCTTTACCTCTCAGTGACAGGAGAGCCTTCTGGTTTTCGGGAAATGATGTAACGGCAGCTCAGTCCTGCGTCTTTGACCATTTGGTCCCCCAGGAACTCAGCCAGGCGCTTTGCTGTACTGATAGATGTTGATTTCTGTTCCCCATAATCTTCTAGCTTCCGAGACATGGAGCGATTCTCAGAAATCAGCTCGAACAACTCAGAATCAGGCATGTTAGCAGCCTAGAGAAAAAAGCCACAGATGCGAGGAAGATCAAGCTTATAGCCACTGAAGATTTTGCTTCTGAGGCTGGAAAATGGCTCAGCAGTTAAGAGCACTGGCTGCTCTTACAGAGGACTGGGGTTCAGTTCCCAGCACCCACATGGTGTTAACAACCATCTATAACTTCCATTCCAGGGGATCTGATGCCCTCCTCTGACCTCTGTGGGCACTGCATGTACTTACATACATGTGGCAAAATACTCAAACAAACACACACAAAAGACTTTGCTCCTGAGGGATTGTTCATGTCTCTTGTTTAAGAAGCTGAAGGCAGGCTTTATACTTCTAAAGGGCAGAGTAATATCATTAAAAAAAAAAAAGGACAGAGCCAGATGTGGTGGTGCATACCTATAATTGTAGCTCTTAGGAGGTTAGGGCAGGTGGACTGAGTTTCAAGCCAGCCTGGGCTACATGAGACTCTGTACACAAAATATCAAGAAACATGTAGAAGCAATAAAAGCCAAAGCTGTAAACTTGAGGGAGTTGCTATGCCCAAGACAGAAAGCTGTCCTAAAGGAAGCAACATTCATGTAACACCGGCAGGGACAATGGAATTTTAAAACTTTCTCATAGATGGTAATGTGCAAGTAGATTAAATGGTAAGTGGCCCATAACACACAAAGATAAAGCAGCACAGGAACAGCTAAACATTCTGTGGAATCAGAATTAGAGGAAAGTCAGCACTCTTTCTCTTTCCCTCCCTCCCTTTTTTGTTAAAATTTTTTTTATTATTTTAATATTTTAAAAAAACTATGTAGGAGCCGGGTGTGGTGGCACATACATGTAGCACTTGGGAGGCAGAGGCAGGCGGATCTCCATGAGTTCAAGGCCAGAGTGGTCTACATAGTGAGTTCAGGACAGCTGGGGCTACAGGGAGACTCTGCTTCAAAAAGACAAACAAACAAACAAACAAACAAACAAAAAAAACACAACTGTGTACGAGTGTATTGTCCGCATGCATGGAAGTGTTTCCTTGTTGTGCTATGAGCGGAGGTCAGAAGAGGCATCAGATTCCCCTAGAACTGGAGTTACAGACAGTTGTTATCTGCCATGTAGGTGCTGGGAATCAAACCCCGGACCTCTGCAAGAGTAGTCAGTGCTCTTAACTGCTGAGCCATCTCTCCACCTCCCCTCCCTTTTCTGTAATGTTGGGGATAAATTATAAAAATTATGTGTACAATTATAGAGCCTACTAAGACTTTAAAAATCAGGTTTTGCTGGGTGTGGTAGCGCATGCCTTTGATCCCAGCACTCGGGAAGCAGAGGCAGGCAGATCTCTGTGAGTTCAAGGCCAGCTTGGTCTGCACAGTGAGTTCCAGGACAGCTGAGGCTACAGGGAGACCCTGTCTCAAAAAGACCCGCCCCCGCCAAAAAAAATCAGGTCTGGTAAGATGGCTCAGCAGGTAAAGGCACTTGTCACCATGTTTGAAGGCCTAAATTCAATCCCTGGGACCCACACGGTGGAAGGAGAGAGAACTGATCCTCACAAGTTTTCGTCTGGCTTTAACAAGGCTGGGTATGGTGGCACATGCCTTTAATACCAGCACTTGGGAGGCAGAGGCAGGTGGATTTCTGTGAGTTCAAGGCCAGCCTGGTCAGATATAACTACAAGGGAGACCCTGTCTCAGAAAACCAAACAACAATTTAAAAAAAACAAACAAACACGAGGGGTTGGGGATTTAGCTCAGTGATAGAGCGCTTGCCTAGCAAGCACAAGGTCCTGGGTTTGGTCCTCAGCTCTGAAAAAAAAAAAAAAAAAAAAAGTGATGTGATAATTACTAAAGTTTCCTCTTAAAAACTATCTCCTTCAAATCTGACATTGGATAAAAGCTGGGGAATCCTAGGGTACTGGTGCTAAGGAAGCCAAGGTTCATCAAAATGGCCCAAGTTTGTCTATTATTTGGCTCTCCAAGAACCTAGGGTACACAAGTCCCATTCCTATAAGATGGTTCATCCTGACAGTCAGTTGAGGAGGTAGGTGGGGTCTTACCTTGCTGTATAGGACATCTAGCCAGTAGTCAGCCACTTTGGCCACAGAGCCATATACTTCCTCTAGAGTGCTACCCTTCAGGAAGGCCTCAAAGACCGAGGACTGGAAGATTTTAATCAGCTGTAACTCCCCTCGGCGTTTGACCTCGAAGCCTTTTAGCTCAGCCAAAGAACCATCTTCATTGAATACAGCATATCTGGAAAACAAGGTAGACACCACAGTGAAGCAAATCTCTGGGTGCTGGGTGCTTTCTGTCCCACCTTTGCCTTCCTCTTCCACTGTCTGACCCTGATGTCAACTATGAGGCAGCAAGCAGTGCTCTATACTCACAAACAGAAACGGGTTATGGGCCCACCACTCAAAACCAGAATACGTCAGGTGGTAAAGAAGGCTGGCACATCAGTATCTACTTTGTTTTATCTTCCAAATTGAGTTAATAAAACAAATAACTACCCCCCCGACAAAGTTTAGTCCCATTTTGGCTCCCAATCTATTTCCCCTACCAGGTTGTTAAATCTAGTCCACCCCAGTGTATTTCCTTTCCAAAACATAAAGGCTCTGAGATTCCTACCTCTTTTTCAGTTTCTTCCCTTCTTCCTTAGAGGCTGGAAGGATCATGGCAAGGTAAGGTCCATCAACTTCAAAAAAGATGCTGTTCTCAGAGCGGGTGACATAGGTGAGTGAGGAAGGCTCTGTTAGCTCCTGGTACTGGTGGTTGGTGAAGCCTTCCTGAGAACCAAGAACCAGAATGGCTGTATCACTCCTAAGGGCCTAGACCTGGTAACCACCTCCTGTTCTCAGGGAATGGATGGACCAGTAAATAAGCTCTTTCACAATGGACACATCTGGCAGCATAAAAACAGGAAAGTTGGACATGCACAACAAGTCAAATCTCAAGTATCATTTACAAAGTCTGACTTGCATGTTTTATGTTTCCATACATACATGATCTTTTTGGAAAGATAAAGATAGCACAAAAATATATCAAGGATTGCCAGAGTTTGACTTCAGTCCTGAAGCAGGGACAACACAAGATAAGGCTGGAGGATCTTATAATACCAGGAAGTAAGAAAGTGTTTCAAAAACAAGAGTGAAAAAAGAAACAGCCAAAACATGGAAATGTCCCAAGAACACATAAGTGTGAAGAAATCCTTGTGGCCAGCTAGGAATAAACTAAGCAACAAAAGACATAAGGATCATACTGGACTATAACCCAAAGTATAATAAACAAGTACAAATCCATGCTGCTTAAGTAAGTCAATGAATAAGCAGAAGGGTAACAATGCTCCCTTAAGAATTCCAACGAACAAGCAAAAGGAATGAGAGAAACAGAAAACTGCTGTGAGGAAAAACCAGCATATGAAACCTATTATTAGCAGTGGTACAGGTGAGACCTACCAATACCTGGACTGAAGTTTGAGGAGCATTTCAAAACATGCCTTCATGATACTTCCTAATTATCTGTGGTGGTTCTAACATTTGCCAGATGCTCTTTGATGCTCATTCTCTAGGAATAAGTGACCCTCTGCCTATGTGATTACTGAGCAAAGAACAGCATGTGGACAAGGAGTTGGGGGACCTCATTGTGGAGACATCTAGCAGATGTCAACAACATTGCTAACCTAGTAATGAAGCCCATGTCCTCACAGAGGAAATGTGCCATCATCTCTATGGCATTCCTCCAAGAAAACCCAAATAACATTGGTCTTTTAACAAGAAGTGGCAACTCCAAATTGAGGGCAGAAAACAAAATGCCTGACCAGAAAAGACACAGTCCAGGCTAGGGAGGACAGTGTGGGCACCTTGGATACTAGAAGAACAACAGTAGGAAAACTGGGGACTCCAAATGATGTATAGTTCCATTGCAGAGTTTGTCAACATGAATTTCTTCATTTTGATGACTGTAAATGTACTTTCGGTAGATGTTAACATTAGGGGAAGCAGCCTGAAAGATACTCAGAAGTTTTCAGTGCTATTTATGTGTGTGTGGTATATGTGTGCATGTATGTGCATGTGTGCATGTGGAGGCCAAGTCAATGATGGATGGCTTCAATTTTCTCCACTTAATTTTTTGAGACAGCGTCTCTCACCGAGCCTGGAGCTCATCAATTTGGTCAGGCTTCCTGGCTAATCAGCTCCAGGGGTCCACTTGTCTGCCTCTTTCCCTGCAACCTCAGTGCCAGAGCTAGATGTGTGCCCTGTGCCTAGCTTTTACATAAGTGCTAGGGATCCAATTTCAGGTCCTTTATGCTTAACACTGTACCAATTGAGCTGTCTCCCTAGCCTCCTTTCAGTACTATTTTTGAGTTTTTCTTTTTTAAAGATTTTATGTATTTATTAATTTATTTAATTTAGGAGTGTATGAGTGTTTGCCTGCATGTATACAGGTATACCACATATATGCCTGGTGTCTGTGGAGACCAAAAGAGGGCATTAAATGCCGTGGAACTGCAGTCAGGATGGTTGTTAGCCACCACATGGGTGTTGGGACCTGAACATGGGTCCTTTGCAAGAATAGTAAGTGCTCTTAACTATTGACCTATCTCTCCAGTCCCCTATTTTTGAGCTTTTTTTTCTTTTTTGTCTTTTTTAGACTCCCTGTAGCCCCAGCTGGGCTTGAACTCAGAGATCCACCTGCCTCTGCCTCTCCAGTGGTAGGATTAAAGGCATGTACCATCATACCCGACACTTGAGATTGTTTTTATACATTTAAAATTGTTTCAAAATAAAAAGTAAAGGCAAAAGTAGTGTGGTTGTTGTGAAGGAGAAAAAAATTCCACCTGTAACTTGAATCTAGTAGTCTAACCATATCCTTATGGTATAGGAAAGTCACTTTGAACAGCTGAGGGAATTAGGAAAAAGAGCATGAGATGGAAGGTTCTTGTAGGGAGCCAAATATATCACCTCTAAAAGTCTAAGTAAATGTCCACACTGGAGCCAGGCCAGAGGTCAGAATGAGATGTGTCTTTTGGCTGCATAACTCACCCAGACTCACCTTGACCATGATGTTCAACATGGCTCCAGGATAGGAGATGGTCACCTTGGACTTCTTCACATTGGTTGTTTTGATGACAAAATTTTCAGGGAAGCTATTGGGTAAGACGCACCATATTCCATCTGTGTCCAATTCTAAGGGCCTCCTTTAGAGAAAAGAGTGAAGGACATGGACAGGTGGGGCCATGTGGCCTCAAGTTCTTAAGTCAGGTTTTGAGTATCTCAAATATGATGAGATCAAACCCAGTTCTGTCTTCCCTGTCTTCATTGTTTCCTGTGATTGCCCCTCCCCAACCCTTCAGCTGACCCCAGGTCCACTTACCCAATCTGTTCGATCAGCTCTCTTGCCTGGGTGATGATGTTGGCTCCTGTGAAGCAGACAATGCCAGCCATCTCCATGGAGTACCAGCGGGCCCTGGAATGGACAGCCTATAGTCTATGGTAGGCAGGGCCAACAGGAGGCTCTTTCCACAAGGATTCAGAGGAGGGAAAAAGGATTCCACAGGAGAGATGGTGGAACAACACGCTTGAAGCAGGACAGAACTAAGGCAGAATTTGGCTTGTCCCTTCTGCCCCTACTTGAGCATGACCAGTGTGGCTCAGGGAAGATCTAGAAGGGTTAATTCATGATTTTAGAGTCAGTAGGACTCTCACTCCCAAGCCTATTCCCTTTTTCTTTTGGAGACTGGGTCCCCCTGTAGCCCCAGCTGGCCTGGAACCCTATTCTGAAGTTCAACCCTCAACCATCTTCTTCTATGAAACTAAGCCAACACTTGGGCAGCTGCCCTCAGCAACTTGCAGGTCCACCTGCCAACCCTTACTCCGGCTTAACCCTTGTCTAATTGCTCCCTCTCATTCTGACCTAGCAGAATTTAGTATGTCCATTCTCATTAAAAACCAATAGGGGAAGCCAAGCATGATGGCACATGCCTTTAATCCCAGTACTTGGGAGGCAGAGGCAAACAGATCTCTGTGAGTTTAAGGCCAGCCTGGTCTACCTAGTGAGTTCCAGGACAGCTGGGGTTACAAGGAACCTGTCTGAACCCCCCCCCGCCCCAAACAACCAGTCAACTAGCCAATCAACAATCTTCATCAGAATCAATTCCAGGATCAGTTTTCTCCTTTCCTCTAAAGCTGCAGGCGGACAGTGGTCTTATCTTCTGTGTCTCTAGACCCTTAGAGGCTGACTTTACGTTCATGCCACTCACTGATCTGCTTTCCCAGAGGCCCAACCAAGCTGTCCAAGGAATACAGATCAGGCCTCACTGGCACACCACCCAAACCACTTCCTACTTTCTTTCTAGAACAGTTCCCATTTTGACTGTGAGACTCTGGCCTCCTAGCCAGTTCTATACTCTTTGTTGGTTACTCCTCTGCCCACTCCTTAAATAATCTAATGTTGTTTATCAGCTACCTAAACCTCTCCACTCCAGGGATGACGAAATGATATAAACATGCCAGAAATCAAATCGTATCTCCAGTCCACCATGCTTAAATCAAGCTGTTGAACAACATATCTCTCTCTTGACCCCCAGACTCTTTATTTTGGGTCTTTTTGAGACAGGGTCTCCCTGTAGCCCCAGCTCTCCTGGAACTCACTATGTAGACCAGGCTGGCCTTGAACTCACAGAGATCCGCCTGCCTCTGCCTCCTGAGTGCTGGGATTAAAGCCATGCGCCACCATGCCCGGCCGACCCCCCAGACTCTTGAGCCAATGTGGCCCTGGCTCTCTTGGACTCCCTAGTCCCAGCCAAGCCTGCATCACAAATATTCTCTGAGCTGGCAGAGCATTCCCATATGCATTCAACCTCCTGGCCCAGTCCCCCAAGCCTGAAGATACCCCCAACTTCTTTTTCCTCAACCATCACACCATGCTCATTCCCTCCTGGCGCATGTGGCCCATACCCTTTGCGCATGACATAGCCATAGAAGGAGTTCAGGATGCACTTGTGAGCCAGCTGCAGTGAGTCATACAGGATCTCCATATTCTTGCAACGCTTCACCTCAGCTGCATCACCTGACTCCACAGCTGCTGAGAGCTTCTTCTTCCACACCTGGTAGCACATGCGGGAGCCTGAGTACCTTACAGCTTCTCCTATCTCAGTCCACAAGGTCAAGAAACCCAAGTTTTCAATATTAAAAACTTTCAAATCTATAGAGAACTTGAAAAAGTGTATAACGAAGACCATTCAATCTTTTAGACTGGCCACCTGTTAATATCTTACCATATCTCCTTTATTCTGTATGTGTCTCCATCGCTCTTGGCAGACCCTTGAAAACTATGGCTATTAAAAACCGAGTACTGTAGGACATTCTCCTTTAATATTCTCCTAATATTACTATTAGGACTAGGGAATCTAAAATAAGTGATATCACCAAGCTCCATATTTAAGTTTCTTCAATTGTCTCCAACCCTGGAAACCAATCTAAGATGATTTCTTCTGCTTGAACTGTCTTAAACCTAGCACTGCCTGTCTGGGGTAGATGTTCCCAAAAGAGTTCTGCACACTAAGGAATACATATCACATTTTTATCTTGTAAGACTAAAGACTTGTAGAAAAAGACTTCATTACAGCAACAATCCCTCTAGTTACCTCAGACTTTGCTTCTTTAATTCAAGAAACTGAAAGTAGCCCCCCCCAATAAGCTGAAGAAACAAATTCCATATCCAAAGACCAATGACTGGAGTTTTCCTGGGGCTCCCAACCTGAGTACCTCTGCTCAACTGACCCCTACACAGTGCACTCGGTAAGATGATTAGATGGTGTGAACACCTGAGCGAAGGCAGCCAGTAAGGCACACAAATCAGAGCATACCTTACAGCATCTGTCTAGTCATTAGTTGGCAAATCTGTAGGGACTCAGTACCTAGGGATTTCATTTCAAAATGAAAACAAAGAGACGTAAGGAAAGCCATTGATATGTCGGCAAACTTTCTAATAAAGATGAGAAGAAAAATATTTAAAGGGCAAAAACTCTTCAGATAGGGCCAGAGAGATGGCTCAGAAAGTAAATGTATTTGCGTCAAGCCTGAGGACCTGAGTTCAATCCCTAGGATCTACATGGTGGAGAGTGAGAGAGAACTGACTCCTACGAATAGTCCTCTTAAATTCTATAGGTATGGACATGCACACAAGATACCAAGATAAAAATACTATTAAGCTGCTTCCCTGGGCCTGCACAACCTGCCGGCCTCTCTCCTGGGTAAGTCCACTACACCCTCCATGCCTTGACTCCCCTAGACCCATTCACGCTCCCATCTCCCCTGCCCATCTCTCCTCCTAGCCTGGGTACTGTGCCATTCCTTGTCTTGGCACCCCAGACACCGGGGGAACCACCACTGCTTCCTGATCCTTTGCAACCCAGTTCCTTCTCGTGGTCCCCAGGAGCTCTCTGGGCCTGGTCCTGCCCTCACCTTCCTCTGCTTCCCTGGGCTGCACCTCCGCCAGCCTCTTTCCTGGAAGGTGGGGCTGAACTCTCCACCTGGGGCCACCACTGCTTCCTGATCCTTGCATCTAGATGGACCCAGTTCCTTCTCAAGGTCCACGGGAGCCCTCTGGGCCTGGTCCCTCCCTCACCATCCTCTGATTCCCTGGGCTGTACAACCCACCAACCTCTTTCCTGGACACTGGGGCTGCCCTCTTGGCTTCCTGATCCTTTGCATCCAGACCAACCGAGTTCCTCCCTGTAGTCGCCAGAAGCCCTTGGGGCCTCTTCCCGCCCCCATCTCCCTTTCCATCTCTGGGTGGCACAGCCACCACCTGCCTGAAACCAGCATCTTTCCTAGGCCCTGCTCCCAGGCCAGTCTAACCCCCAAATTCCTGAGGACATCTTTCCTGGAGGAATCCAGACCTTAGGAGAAAGTCTGAGAGCATCTGATCCTCATCTGACTTGGGTCTCTGTGGGAACTCCTGAAGACAAAAGCAATCTGACCACTCCAATATAAAATCAAGAGAGAACCGGAAGTTTAGACGAATCGGCTTTTCATACCCAAAAAGTAAACCACAGACACATAAAGTTCAAAAAAAGAAGCATCACTAAACTTGAAGGCTTGAGTCTCACACAAGAACCAGAAACTACAAGAGAAATTCACAAGTCAAAATCACAGGGAAAAAATAATAACACAAAAAAACCAAAATAACATATCCCCACCAAATATCAATAGTCCTCTAGAGGAGTACAATGAGAACCCCCTAGAGATAATGAACATGGAACTCAAAAGAACAATTATAAACATGATTAAAGAACTCAGTGAATTTAAAGAACACACAAAGAAATGAAAGAACTGAAGGAAGATAGGAATAAATTTCTGAATGAATTCAGAAAAGGGCTAGAAATATTGAAGACTACTCAGGCTAAAATGAAGAAGTTGAAACACTCAGTAAACCAATCAGAAATGACAGGAGAAGGCCTCACCAATAGGATGAATGAAATGGAAAACAGAGTATCAAGACTGGAAGATAAAGTGGATGAACTGGACCATTCAAGCAAACATGAAAAATTTAAGAAAGCATAAAAATGGAATATGCAGGTATCGTGTGACACCATAAAAAGACCAAACTCGCTGGGCGCGGTGGTGCACGCCTTTAATCCCAGCACTCCAGCACTCCGGAGGCAGAGGCAGGTGGATCTTTGTGAGTTCCAGGACAGCTGGGGCTACAGGGAGACCCTGTCTCAAAAAGACGAAAAAAAAAAAAAAGACCAAACTTACGAATCATAGGCATACAGGAAGGGGAAGAATCTCAAGAGATGAATGGCATGGACCAGATCCTCAACAGACTCATAGAAGAAAGTTTCCCAAAATTAAAGAAAGACATGTCCATACAAATACAAGAAGCATATAGAACATCAAATAGACAGGACCAGAAAAGAAACTCTCCATGACACATCATAGTAAAAACACTAAATGTACAGAACAAAGAGAGAATACTAAAAGCTACAAAAGAAAAACAACAAGTCACAAATAAAGGAAAACCCAGCTGACTTTTCAGTGCAAACTATGAAAGCCAGAAAAGCCTGGATCAAAGCATTCCCAGTTTTAAATGACCACAGATGCCAACCCAGATGACTATACCCAGTCAAAACGTGTATTATAGTCAAAGGGGAAAGAAAAATCTTCCATGACATAAATAGGCTGAAGGAATTCATGTCCACAAAACCAGCCCTTCAGAGAGTTCTGGAAGCAATACAAAAAGCTGAAGAAAGGAATAACTATATCCAAGGGGTTGAGGAAAGACATTCAATGAAGGTAAAACTGTGGAAAAGTACAGCTATATCAAGAATAAGAACAGAAATAAAAATGACAGCATTCAATACACATCTTTCATTAATAAGCTTAAATATTAACGGACTGAATGCCCCAGTCAAATGACACAGATTAGGTGAATGAATTAAGAATCAAAACCCATCTTTTTGTTGTCTGCAAGAAACTCATCTCACTTTCAAGGACAGGCACTATCTTAAATAGACTTTAAACTGAAACTAACCAGAAGAGACAAAGAGGGCTATTTCATTCTGATCAAAGGAACAATCAATCAAGAAGATATTACAATCATGAACATATATTCACCAAACTCTGGTGCACCCAACTTCATAAAAAAAAATACTACAAGACTTTAATACCCAGATTTATCCCAACTCATTAATAGTATGGGACTTCAATACCCCACTGTAGATAGGTCAAAAGGGCAGAGAGTTAACAGTGAGACATCTGAATTAAACAATACCATATATCAAATGGACCTAAGAGACATCTCCCGAGTATTCCACCTAAACACCAAAGGACATACTTTCTATTTAGCGCCCCATTGAATATTCTCCAAAATTGACCATATACTGGGGCACAAAACAAACCTCAACAAATACAAATAGATTGAAATAATTCCATGCATTCTATCAGACTACAATGCAATAAAGCTTAAAATCAACACACGAAGAAGCCCTAGTCACCACGTGGACACATGGAGATTAAACAACACACTCCTGAATGATGAATGGGTCAAAAGAAAAATTAAGAAAAGTATTCCTGGAACTAAATGAAAAGAACAAAACACAACAAAACCTCTGGGACATGCTGAAAGCTGTCCTTAGAGGGAAGTTTATAGCTCTAACTGCCTACATTAAAAAATCGGAAAGAACACAAACGACAGCATTGCAACTCAAGACCCTTGAAAAGCAACAACAAATGAAACCCAAACTCAGCAGACAAGAAGAAATAACAAAAATCAAAGCAGAAATGAATGAAATAGAAAAAAGAAAACAATACAAAGGAACAGAGAATCTTAGAGTTGGTTCTTTGAAAGGATAAATAAGATAGACAGACCTTACCCCAGTTAGCCAAAAGAAAGAACAACCCCAAATCAACAAAATTAGAAATGAAAGGGGAAACATCACAATAGACAATAAAATGATCCAGAATATTATAAAGGAATACTGTACAGCCTATAGCCCATTAAAATTGAATACCTAAAGGAAATGGGTGTGTATCTAAAATCAAGGAATCACCAAAGCTGAACCAAGAAGATATCAACAGCTTAAACAGACACATAACACATGATGAAATTGAAGTGAAGCAGTAATACAAAATCTCTTGACGAAGAAAGCCAAGCCCAGGATGGCTTCACCGTAGAATTCTACCAGACATTTAAAGTTCTATATCCAATACTTCTTAATTTATTCAAAAAGATAGAGAGGGAGAACTTGAAAATTCCTTCTATGAAGCCAGCATCTCTCTAGAACCAAATCCAAATAAAGATACAACCAAAAAATAAAACTATAGACCCATATCCTTAATGAACATAGATGCAAAAATTCTCAACAACATACTTGCAAACCACATACAGACACACATCAAAAAAGATCATCCACCATGATCAAGTTTGCTTTATCCCAGAGATATGTAACTC